GGACTCACAGGGACAGCTCCTGTGAGTTTTGGGCTGCCGTGAGCATCAAGGGAGCAGGAGAGCCCCCGCGGGTTATAAGGGCTCCGTCAGTGTGCGCCCACTCACGGTTTCCAAGCAGCAGATGCTCTGCCTGGAGGGGGCGGGATGGCTACTTCCAGTTCATCCGTCAGATGAGACTGACCCAGCCCCCCGAGAGCTCTGCTGGAACCCCCGGGCCTCCTGGGGTCACTTACACCAGGGATGGACAGACAACGCCATGAGTGGCCAGAGCCACGAAGCAGCCACACACACGCAGGAAAAAACTGCACACAGAATGAGTCGGGGACCAAGGCTCCAAGGTTTATTCCAGAACCACCCATGGCCACAAACACCCACACCCACACCCACACAAACACCAACTTTTTTAAAAAATTTATTTTAGTATAACTCCCATCTTCACACACCATGTTAACACAGGTGACATGCACTGCCCCAGAGACAAGCTCTCGCCTGGTGGGTAAGACCCCAGAGTTCGCCGTGCTGTCGCGTCCTACAGAATCCCACAGCGGGAAATACCATGAGCACGCCCTGCAAATCCGAGGAAAACGTCAACAGTGGTGACGCAGTGACATCAAAGTGTGCCCACGGTCTGCCCTGAGGCTGTGATGTGGATTTCCGTCCTCACAAGCACGCAGAGGCAGCGACCTGCCCAAGGTCACACGGCAGGCGGGTGGCAGAGGGGGGGTGGCAGAGTGGTGACTTGACACCGAGCCCCACCTCTCCAGGCAGGAGGCTGCACACACCAGCCATGAGCGAGGAGGACGAACAGGGTCCCCGATCACTGAGGCTGACTGAGGTGGCCGCCAGGGTCCAGCGTGTGTCAGCCTGGCCAAACACCAGCCTGGCTCCTGTCATGTCACGGAGTAGCAGCCTGTGATGACAGCAGTCCTCCTCGTCCCCACTGCCACTGAGTCAGTCAACGCTGGCTCACAGCGCCCCTACAGGACAGAGCAGAACTGCCGCAGGTTTCCAGGGCTGTCAATCTTTACAGAAGTGACTGACTGCCTCATCTTTCTCCTGCAGAGCGGCTGGTGGGTTCGAACCACCAACCTTTTGGTTGGCAGCCGAGCACTTTACCCCAGGCCACCAGGGCTCTCCAGTCGGCCGTGGGCAGAGCTGATCACTTCCATCACCACCTCCCGCAACGCAGTCTGATGCCATCAATCCCCAGAGCCCACAGGGGAGGGGCGTGAGCCTTCAACCTAATCACACTTGAGTTACAGGACGGAGAGACAGACAGACACACGGGGGAAGACAAGCCGTGTGAGGACAGGCCACACACCAAGAGACTCCAAGGGTCACCAGCAGTCCCCAGCAACCAGCAAAGAGGCCCGCACATGGCCCCGGCACGGTGGGGACCCTGACCTGGACCTGAGAGTCCACAACTGTGAGGCCCCTTCGGGTCTTTCCAGGCAGCCACTGGTGTGTGCATTACAGCAGCTGGAGAGGAAGCCACGCAGGGCTCCCCTGCCCCGTGGTTCCTTCAGATGACTGGTCAGTCACCATGAAGCCCACCTAAGGTGTTCCCTGCAGGGCTGAACCCACACTCTTGGCTTTCAGCAAACACTGGGGGGTCAGACCCTCCTGGACAGGACGAGGGTTGGGCAAGAGACCATTAAGTCAGCAGTCAACAAGCATATCTGTGAAAATGACTAAAAGCCAGGAGGCACAGGCATGGTGAGGCCCCAAGTCTGAAGCAGTCTGTCTACACGGCCTGAACAACAGATCCGGAATGCCCTGTGTTAGGAAGAGGGTCCGCTGGTAGTGTAACTTCTATGCTCATGTATAGAAGCCTCATAGTTAACAACTTTTTCATGCAGACCAGGGGGCTCCACATTCCACTTGTCAGCTTCCACACACGTGCTGCTGTGTGTGACGGCCTTTTCCAAAACGGTAAACACCTGTGGTAAAATGTTGAACAAACGTCTCCGTTCCTCTCAACTTCCTGGGCAGACCATACTGCTGGACAACTCAGGGGACACTGTTGTTGGGTGCTGTCAAGTCGGTGCCGACTCACAGGGACGCCACGTGACAGAGGACAGGCCCAGAGGGTTTCCTGGGCTGTCATCTTGACGAGACCAGATTGCCGGGTCTTCTCTCTCACAGAGCCACTAGGTGGGCTCCCAGGCTGTTCGTGGAATTCATGTTTTAAAAACTTTATTGGCTAGAGCTCCTGTCAGTATATAACCAACCTGGGTGGAAAACGGTGTGTTTCTAATAGCTGGGCTCAGAAGCCAGCTGTGGCTGCATCTTTTCACACATCAATGACACACACTCAAAAGTCAAGTAAGACCGGTACAATCCTACCCACTGCTGTGAAGGGCCACCCACACATGCTCACTGCTACCTGGCACCTCAGCCCCACCACCAAATGCCCATATACCCATATACCCTCCACAGATACCACCAAGTAATGAAGTCACTGCGGTGTCTGACTCCTGTTGGTTACATCCACACGACACAGGGTCTTCACAGATCAACATTTCAAACCGAAGTTGTGCAGAATTAAACCCAACAAACCTGGAAGCCATTCGAATTACATTTCCGGTGGAGACAAAGTCAGCAGGGCTCCCAGCACGGACACACCCCTTGCAGCAAACCCACCTGCAAAGAGAGGAGACTTCGTCGGTTCTCACGGCTCCTCAGCAGGCAGAACCCTCAGGAGGGTCAGCTCAGCACCGCACAACGTGCTGAAAACCCCGAACCACCTTCCACCCAGAGCCAGGAGGCGCCCCCGGGGTTGCACCCTGTGCTGACTTCTACTGTCCCCACCCCTCCATGCCTATGGGCTCTAGCCGTGGGCTGGTCACCGCGTCTTCAAGACCGGCCTCCAGGGCTTCCTAAGCCAGGAACTTCTCTCCCACTGGCACCTGCACTCTGCCACCGGCGGCCCCTGGGCCACAGCTCAGTCCGTCCTGCCCTCCTCAGCAGCCTGGCACTGACAGAGTCCTAACAACCCTGGAACCGGACGTCCAAGGCCCCTCTGACCCAGCACCAGCCTGGACGTCCTGCTTCATCCCGTCCCCTTCGCTGAGCCAGCGCACAGGCCCCCCACCGCTCTCCCGCCTCTGTCCCAGGTTCCCAGCAGGAAAGGGCCTTCCCTGCCTCTGACAGTCAGGCCTCCAAGGGGTCAGAGGCCCTGGGAGACCCCACAGAAACGCTCTTTCCTGCCGCTCCAGGAACAACAGACACACCAGGTGACACCGAGCTGATGCCAGAGCACGGGGAGCCCGTGCATCAGGGCAGGGCTGTGCTCCGTGGGGTCTTCGGTGGCTCGTTTCTGTAAACAGTTTACCAGGTCTCTCTTCTGCGGTACCTCGGGCCTGAACTTCCAAACTGTGGTAGTAGCTGAGGGTGTTCGCCGTTTGCAGCAGCCAAGGGACCCTGCGGCTCCACAGCCTTACTTAGTGCCTGCCTCTGGAGCGCGGAGTCCCCAACGCCAGGCCCTGCACTCTTCTTCACACGCCCTCCGAAACCCACGACACAATGCTCTCGCTGCTGTCAGAAGCACCCTAACGTGCTGAGGACACTTCTCACTCTGTGTGCTGGCAACAAGCCAGGCCGAGACAAGTAAGAACACTGCTTCCTGAAGGGGCAGGCCAGATGACAGGCGGGAGAAGGGAGCCGTCCAAGTCCACAAACGTCTGTGTCCAAGACTCAAGCCTCCTGCAGGAGAAACCAATGGCGAGGCGGGGTCCACCTGACCTTGCCCCAAGCAGGGGGGAGCGCCAGGGATAAAAGTGTGCCTGCTGCCATGGTTCCCATTCAGGTATCACCCCCGCTTCCAGTACATCCTACGCCTGCGCTAACACGGTGAATGCCCGTTACAAGTGCCCACTGGCATCCACTGCCTCGGTCCCGGCGGCCACATTGTGGGTGCTCACTGGCTGCATGTGGCCAATGGCTCCTGTATCTCGACAGCGTCCGCACAGAACATTCCCATTAACTCCTGCTGGGCAGCACGGTTCCAGACACAGTGCTCCTTTGAAGTACAGCCTTCGCACATCACTGTCTTGTTAAGGGCCTCCCACTGTTCTTTGGACAAAGACCAAAATCCTTACGTAGGCCACAAGATCCTGTGTGGTGAGGCTTTTCCCTACTTTTTCAGCTTCATTTCACACCATTCTACCCCTTGCTTTATGTCAACAATGGCCACCTTCTTTCAGTTGCTTCACCAGCCACACTTGCCAGGCCACTGGGCCTTTGCACAGCCTGCAACAAACTCCTACTCATCTTCCAGAGGCCAATGCCAAGGGCCCACTCTCAGGGAAGCCTCCCAGTCCTGACCAGGCTCCTCTGGGTCTCTATTCTCAAAGGACTGTGTCTCTCTCCTCCCATTTGAACCCCACCTTCTTCAGTGACCACTGACGGGGTTGCAGCTCCCGGAGCACAAGGACCACAGCCATCTTGTTCATCTCTGCATCCCTAGCACTTAGACTGGCACCTGGGCAAAGCCTCAGGGTGTATTTGCTGAATAAAGCCCAGTACAGCCACAGTGTTCACAGAGCCACTCTTTGGTAACACTAATGAAACAGGGTCTGGTAGCATAGTGCCTAAGGCACTTGATGCTAACCAGAAGGCTGGCGGTTCCAACCCACGAGCCACTCCTAGGAAGGAAGGCTGGGCAATCTAGTAGTAATACCTCTCAGAAACCCAAGGAGGGGTCGCTATGAGTCGGGTCGACTCCAGGGTACAGAACAACAACAACAACAACAACAATGAAATGGCCTTCCTCCGACGCGAGTCCTGTTTGCAGTATCATACATGACCATCAAGCTGCTGCCAGAATGTTCACACCTGTTACTGCAAGTTCAAACCCAGGAAGCTCCTCCCGGGAATTTGCTCTGGGTCAGGGCTGGGCTGTCTGGTACCAGGCTGCACCCACAGCTGGGCAGGTTCAGCCACACAGGAGCCGTCCCCCAGACCACGTGTCTAGGACGCTGTCTCCGTGCTTGACCTACCTGGAGCTCCGTAGGAACCACCCGAGAGGAATCGATGCTCTCCGCGCAAACTCCAGAGGTTGCAATCTGCTGTGGGAACCTGGGGAAAGAGCCACAGCGCGGCTCTCTGAGGAGCGAAGCCTCATCCGGCGCCTACCCAGCCCAGAAAGCGGAGCTAACCCAGTCGGGGGCTTCTGTCAGTCACAGCACCTCTGACAACTTCCTTGTCAGTTTCGGCGCCTGCGTTCAGCCTAAGTTCCCTTTGCCTCCTCCCGTCCCAGCCCCCGTTACTGTGCGTGGTGGGTCTCTGAAGCCCCGGGCCCCGCGGTGGGGCTTGCGGTCTCCGAGATCCCGGGGTCCGTAGAACCGTCTCAGGTCTGGGGAGTAAGGGGGGGTTGTCCTAGGACTCAAGGGAGGAGTGTCTCAGGTCTCTGGGGTTCTAGGATCCATGGGGTGAGGGTCTCAGATCTCTGGATCCGCGAGACCCGTGCGGAGGGCTTTCGATCTCTGGGGTCGCGGGACCCACATCCTGTCTACCTGTGCCCCGCGGGGCCCGACGCCCCAAGTATGGTCGTTAGCAGTAGAAACTGCGGCCAGGGCAGCTCCGCGTCACCCTACGGGCCAGGGATCCGGGATCTGCAGCAAGTGAGGGGACCCGCTGTCCCTCGGACACGACAGACCACGCGTGACGCCGCCTTCCATTCTCCAGAGCCGAAAACACGCCGCAGAAGCACTTCCGGCCGGAAGTGAGTATTTACCATCGAGACGGCAGGTAGAGAGTCGCCCAAGGCTTTAAAACTGAGTCGTCCAAGGCTACCTTAAAGGGGCCGCGGCGGGCGAGATGTGGATTAATTGGGACCTAGCTTCTTGGCAGGTGGGGAAGTTACCTGAGGAAGAAGGCGCGATGGTACTGTAGGGAAGAGGGAAGGTGGACTGGGGAACGGAAATCTAGAGATGTTCATTCCATGCTCCATCTGCGCCCCCTGGTGGTGGCTGGTGGCGGCGCAGCTGACCACATGCAGGGGCAGAAATCAGAACCAGGCGTGGCCCGTTTTCCCGGTTTTCCCCGTAGCGCTTGTGGGTCCCCAGCTCAACAGCCCGAGCCACCTTTTGCAGGATAAAGTCCAAATCATCGCTGTTCTTCCTCCCTTTCCATTTCTGTTTCACTGGATTAAAAAACTAAAACCCACAAATTAAGTGTCTATCCTAAAGAGTTAAACCATCCAAAGGCATCTAGTGAAGAAAGAGTTAATAGTCGTTTTCTTGGCCGTAATCTTCCTGAAAGCTGATTGCCGGAACACTCTTCCGCCCTGCCAGGTGGGTTCAAACCGCCCTGCCAGGTGGGTTCAAACCGTGGCAGCGGACCGCCAGGGCTTTCTTCCTCAGCTCTGCCATCCTTTAGGTCAGCAGCCCATTTGCATCCTCCGGGGACCTCTGCTCCCGTCCACCCCGAGGCCTGTGGATCCTTCCGCACCTCTCTCCAGGCTCAGGTGCAGGTAGCTTGGCATGGATGGCCTCCAGAGTCTGGCTCCCGCCCTTTAAGATGACCTTTTGTTCCATCCCTTTGGTTCCCCACACAGACCCTTGATGGGGCCGACTGTTTCCTGACACCCCATGGGCAGAGGCCCGTGTCCACAACTTGGTCTTCTGCTGCCAGCTCTGGCCCCTGCTATTTCCTCCCAGGCCCTTTTTCTCACCAGTTCTCTGTTGCTCACCTGCTCACCCTGCGCCCCTTGTGTTACTCTTGCCGGCTGCTCCGGGGTTGGCCGCTCTCTGTAAAGACAGAGGCGAGACATTGTCAGAGTCCTTGACCTTATGGGGAAGACAGGGTTTGCAGGGAGAGCCTTTGTCTCCCGCCCCATTGAGCCAGGTGCAAAATGTGCTAGTAATTAGAACTAGCCTCACTTCAGTAGGACAGAGAGTCAGCCCAAAGCTGATGCCTCTGAACCAGAGGTCAGACACACCTCCCCTCTGCAGCCTTTCACCAAGTCTGACACCCACCGTCCTCCCCCAGCACTCGACTTCTCTGCTAGGGTCGGTCATTCACTGTACCGGCACACCCAGCTCGGGGTGGACTCCCAGTTAAGGGGTTTATTAATGTCGTAACAGGGCACAGCTCAGGATCAGGAAGCCTATGGGCAAAATCCAGAAGGCCGCTCCCAGGTGGAAAGGACTGCCCTCCCTTCTTCAGGGCAGGTCGGCTCTCTCAGCTGTACAAGCCAGCAGGCCCTTCTCTCGGCAGCGCCCAGCCCCTCTCGGCCATGCAGGCCCTCCCGCAGCAGTGCAGGGGCCCCAGGACGGGCCTCCTCTTGGCTGTATGCACCCCCCGCTGTGCAGGCCTCAGCCGTTGCGCCCTGCACTGCTCATCGACCCAGCTCATAGCCAGTGTACAGCTCAATTCCACCTTCGGAGTCACCCCAGCAGCAGGTTTCTGGCCTCACTGCTGACGGCCGCAGGGCCTTCCGCGCCTGTTGTCACCGACTGTGGCCCAGGGCCCCTCCTGGGCCCGTTGCTCTCATCAGGGTTCTAGCCCTGACCTGTGTTACAACTCTTTCAGGAGGTCCCTCACCAACTCTCTCCCTGCTGCTTCTCACTCCTTCCCTCCTCTCTTGTCTTTTTTCTTCTTGAAACATCTGTGGGATCAGCAAAAAACAAGCCCAACTCACTGCCATCGAGTAGATTCCGACTCATAGCAACCCCCACTGGGTTTCTGAGGCCGCAAATCTTTACAGAAGTGGATCACCCCATCTTCCTTCCAGGGAGTGGCTGGTGGGTTTGAACCACTCACCTTCTGGTTAGCAGTCAAGTGCCTTATGCACTACACCGCCAGACTCCTTATCTGTGAGGTTAGGTCGCATATATAAGCAAACCCATCAGTTGAGGCAGGACCCTCCCAGCAGGGCTAGGAAGTGACCAATCCCCTCCATGGACCATAATCACTTCATTTGCATACTATAGTCACCAGTCCCTTCAAGGTGCGCACCAATCACAGGGCAGGCTGTACCCAGAGCCAGACAAAAAGTATCAAACCATCAAGCTGTTTAAAGTTTACAAAGCCAATGTCAATCAACCCAGACAAAAGCAGCAAACCCTCTGGGGCAGGCAAAGGAAAATCTCTCAAGCTGTTTTTTTGACCAAACCCAGGAAGTGGCCGAGAAGCCCTGCCCCAGAAGCTTGCGTGGACTCGTGCACTGGCGTTAATAAGCAAGAGTGACCAGAGACCGTGGGCTCCGCCGGAGTGGTCAGCAGAGGCAGTGGCGGCTCAGTGGTACAGTCGTCTTCTATGCGGGAGGTCCAGGTTCGATTCCCACCTCAGGCCCAGTCACCACCTGTCTGTCCGTGGAGGCCTGCGTGTTGCTGGGACGCTGAACATATCTTTGCAGAGGCACCAAACTAAGACACATAGGAAGAAAGGCCTGCCAATCTCCCTCTGAGTGTCAGTCAGTGACCTCTGTGGATCCAAGGCTCCCGCCCAGAACTGGAACCGGTCTCGGAGTGGTGCACGGTGGGGCAGCTTTTCGTTCTGCTGTGCGTGGGGTCAAAAGATCACCGCCACCCAGAACCCTTGGGAGCGAGTTCTCCTTGACACACTCGGGGACCCCATGGGTCGGAGTGGGCTCCACTGCTACTAGTTTGTTTGTTTGTTTGGGGGCGGGGTGCACTCTACAGGGTGGTCCTGGGGCGCCTGGGGCTCTTGGTGAGTGCAGGTCTCCCCAGGCTGAAAACCTGGCTGCCGCTGAGGGCGGGCATCCTCCATTACTTTGCGGAAGGATTCAACCTGGGCCTTCGGCGCCTCCTGTGAGCCGGGGTCCCGCTCGTCCTGGGGCCGAGCCAGGCTGCCCTGCAGCGGGTCCGCGGCAGCTTCCCCTCCCGGGTGAGCAGCTGCCTCATCCCGGTTAAACCCGGCGCTCCAAGTCTCTGTAATCGCAGCCAGACCCTGCAGCTCGGAGTGCCTGACATGTTACCATGGCAGCTGTGGCTCCTCCCGGGTCCTGGAGCAAAACGCGTTCCAAAGATGCCCTTCTCCCCCTGGGGAGGGCGCCCGGGAGGGGAGGCTGTGCTGGGCTGCCCCACTCAGCCACTTCTGCAGATTCGTGGGGCCGTGTCCGGAGCCGATGGCGCTCTGCGTGCGAGAGGGGCCACAGAGGAAGCGGAGGAGGTGGAGCCGGGCTGTGCCCGAGTTTCCCGGGGCAGAAGAAAGAATAAGTAACCCAAGTGCTGGGCAGCTTCAAAGAACGGAAGCGGATTGTCCCACGGTTTCGGAGACTAGACGTGCAGAGCAGGGCATGGGTTCTAGAGGAGGGCCCCTCCATGGCCACAGCCCCAGACGTTCCCTGGCTCATAGACACCACTCAGGAGGGATCAGGTCTGGGTCCCACCCTCCTCCAGTTATGACCTCATTAACCCAGCAAAAGAAAACCCCTGTTTCCACACGGGGTCACATGCCCAGGTTCAGGGGTTGGGACTTCCACATAACGTTTTGGGGGACACAGGCCATCCATGGCCCCTGGGGGACTTTAAAAGCTCCTGAGGCTGGTTTTGTGGGTCTGGGGTGTGGTCTGGGTAATTGGAATGTGCTAGATTAGGTGGCAGGCTGAGTGGTCCTACAGGTGCCAACCTGATGACTGGGAAGATGAGGTAGTTGCCTGTCAAGAGAAATTGTCCAGGACTGCA